ATATATATATATATATATATATATATATATATATATATAATAATTAGAGAACATGTAATTTGTATAGACATTATTTACATTTGACATACAGGTCTATGTCCAACTGGCCTTCTGCTTGTGTTTCTGCACGTTTTGTTGGATCAAGGTCTAATGTTTGTGTGTTTGTTGATTTGCAGGAGGCATCTTGTGCATATGTGCTGATGGTGACCGCTGTCTACTGGGTGTCTGAGGCTGTTCCTTTGGGTGCTGCAGCTCTGGTTCCAGCCTTCCTCTACCCACTTTTTGGAGTACTCAAGTCAAGTGAGGTGAGTTTCTTTGGTAATATTTATAGTTGAATGTCTGGAGGTTTTATTTTCTGAATGGGAAATCGGCTCCTGTGATGGACTTGCAACCTGTTCAGAGTGTCCCCTGCCTTTCGCCCAGTGACTGCTGGATATGGGCACCAGTGGCCTGAAAAGGAAGTGGGTAAAGATAATGGATGGATGGAAATCGACTCAATTTTCTATCTGTATTCAGTCTTACAAAGCTTTTGTATGGCTGGAGAACAGGAAGGACTTGTTGCAGAACCAACACCATCCACCTTCATTTGGTGGAGGGTTCTAACTACCCCCATTAATATGGGGTCTATGTTATCTGTGGAGTCCATCCCTGGTAGGGTTTCCCATGGCAAACTGGCCTCAAGGGAGGGGTCAGATCAAAAGCCATTTTAAAGAATTATCCTTGATGAAAGAATTCTACAAGAAATAGATCACTTTGCCTTAAATAAGGAAACTGGGGCACCTTCTTGGAGCCAAGCCTAGAAGGGGATATTGATAGCAAAACCTGGTGATCGAGTGCAGGCTCCCAGGTCTCAGCTGGGCCTTGTCTGGAAAATTTATAGGAAGCCACCTCCAGATGATTACCAGTAAGTTTATTTTCACTGTAGCCAGAACATTCATTATGACTGTCACAGTGGCAACCAGAAAACCCATTGATGAACCAGCAGTGGTGGGTGTCATCAAGCTAAAGAGGGCCAGCTATGGCTGAGTGATTAGAGTAGCTGTTCTCCAGTGAGAGGGGTGGGAGTTTGATTCCATCAATATGAAGTCATATGGCGAAGTGTCCCTGGGCAAGACACTGAACACTTTGTTGTCTCTAATGTGTTCTATTGATGTACGAATGTGATCTAAAGCACTGTTTAGACTCTATAGAATGATTTGTTTAGATGACTTGGACATGAAGTTGTGTTGATTGTGTTGCAAAATGCTTTGTGTATCCTGGTTGAGTAGAAAGGTGCTATAAGTATAGTCCATTTACCATTTAAAGAACAAGGTCTTCAGGGCTTAGCTGTCCCAGAGGACCTCTGAAGCACTTGACTGAATAGTCAGAAGTACAGATAGTTGTGTGGTTATGGAACCAAACTTTGGGGCAGGAGAGGAATTTGTAGAGATCATTGGAGAAGACATTTCAGTTGGCCTCAAAGATGTTCTAGTTACAACTTGTTAAAGGAAAAGAAAGATTTGTCCCAAGTTGTCATTAGTTTGATGGATTGAGATTATTGCCAGTTTAGCAAAAGAAACTAATGACATCTTCAATCTGGTCATCATGTCCAACACTGAGGAAGCAGAGTCTGATGACTGAGGAAGTAAGACGGGATCAAATTTTCAGTGCCAAAGGGCTGTTGTGGAGTTGTTGTGGTTGATACAGTTCTTTAACGACACATTAAGAATTTAGACAACACCTGTGGGATGGTAGACCACTGTGATGGTCCCCGTTCTTACTAAAGAGGGACTGAAGAGTTTGTTCCGACTTTTAGCGGTTCACCCTCTGATCCCAAGAAACGTTAACTGTAGAGTGTTAAGGAGGCCCTGACAAGTTGAGGAACTTTGAATAAAAGATGACTCGTTTGGCTTTCTTCAGTATCGTGTGATGACCTGGAATGACTAGATCTTCTACGTATAGTTACTGAGGGGCACATGGGAGTTTGATTCTCCAGTCTACATGTGTTTATGGGATCCAAAGAAGGCTTACGGCCATGGTTCCTGACCTGTCTGGTTATAACCAAAGCAAGAGTTGTGTCCAAACTGTCATGACAAGAAATATAATTTTTAATGTAAACTCCACCTACTGCAAATGTAAAGTGTAACACAACTTAAACAATGGAGCCATTAATAGGAATACATATTTAGATGTTCTCTACTTGTAGGGTATTGATTTTTTTTTTAATTCAACCTTTATTTATACAGATAAATCATATTGAGCCTCAAATACTAATTTACAAGTGAGACCTGTTTGGACAGAAACTTTTCAACCTACCCAAGGTCTTTGTGTGACCTAGGGGAAACACTGTAAGGAAAAAGGAAGTCTTAGCCAGAGCAAAGATGAATTATGGGCTGTGAACTGCCTTTCAGGTTTAGCAGTGATGGGGAGAAAGAAAAAGATGTTTCTTCAGTGTGTTATTGTGTCACTCCTGTTTATTTAATTGTCCTATAAGATCTTTATAATATTTTATTCTCTTCTTCCTTTCTTATTGTCATTACATAAACTGAGAGCCCTATGCCTTATATGAGCCAAGTGGGTCTGAAGAACAATAATAAAGTTGTAAAATATTTTCCATGGTGTTCTATACATACGCCAACAGAGACGTTTATGCAACGTTTTCAGATCAACGTGAAGTGCCGTGTTTTAATAGCATGGGTAAATGCTGTTGGCATACAGGAAATAAAATCAGTATTTTTTTCAAGGATCAAATGTTGCATCATTAGTGCAAACACAAGTTTGTGTTCTTCTCTGGGATTAACAAAACTTTTACTCTTTATGAAACCTACTTCACCCACTTGGGTACTATCCATATGTCCGTGCAGGTTTGTACTAGTTCAATTTCGGTATCTCCAGTGAATAACTTCTGTCATTTCTCTGTAGTGCAGTGAAATGATCTAAAACTTCACGGTTTGTAAGTTAAAGAGTTCAGCTGGAGAAAGTCCAGCTGGTTTTATTAGGTGAAAGGTGAGGCAATGTGGGTTTATATAATCCTGAGGGCTGTGCTCGCTGTGGGTGGGAAGTGGAACAGATTAAGAAGAACAAACTGTAAGAGTTGATCCTAACAAGGGGAGGCAAAGTGACTGGAGGGACAAGAGTCGGTATCAATCCTTGTCTAACTAAATATTGTTTTTAACTTTTCTTTTTTTCTTCTGTATTTCTTTTTCTTTTTTCTTCTGCTTTTATTCTTGTAAATTCCACATATCTTGACGTAATCACATCCACCTGCCCATCTATCCCAAATTTATTAATGTTGACAAATTTCGACAAAAATACAACCAAAAGTGTCAATAGAACATTTAGTTCTTTTAGTAGACTGTTTGCATACTTGTCTACAGAGACTTGTATGGGACACCCATTCACACTTGAAGTTTCAATTAAAAAATTAAAAAAGATTTTTTTTAAATTGGCAGAGGAAATACACATTTGGGTATTTAAAATGTACTTCTCTTGATAACAACAAAGTCCATGCTCAATAATCCAGGTATACAATCCAACATTATTCAGTCAGGTCATCTAGACAGTTTCTTTTTTTTGTGCTGAAACATTTCGCCTTCGGTCCGGAAGGCTTCATCAGTCAAGAAACCGCATAACAAAACTGATTCTTCCCCCAACAGCTTACTCCAAAGTGGAACAAACCAGTTCTGCTTGTGATAAGATGGTCTCTTTGGTACGCCCCCTCCTCCATTGCCGGCCCTCTACCTTGTTGACAGTCTTGTCAAACTGGTTGAAAACAACAAAGTCCATGCTCATTAATCCAGGTATACAATCCAACATTTTAATATTTCAACATTACTTCTCTTGATGCATACTTTGAATTGAAACAGTACTTGGACTCCAGATAATGACATTGCACAAGTATCTAAATACGTGCCTATTGAGAAACGACCCATGTCCTAGACCCATGTCTTCTCATTTTATCCTGATCGTGCTGCTATGTGCTAAAATGTTCAATAAATGAGAGGAAATTATAATGGGATGGGTGGTGGCCGAGGGCGGGGACCCTGACGGTCTGATCCTCGGCTACAGAAGCTGGCTAATGGGACGTGGAATGTCACCTCACTGGTGGGGAAGGAGCCTGAGCTGGTGTGTGAGGTTGAGAGGTTCCGGCTAGAAATATTTGGACTCACCTCTACGCATGGCTCTGGCTCTGGAACCAGTTTCCTTGAGAGGGGCTGGACACTCTTCCACTCTGGAGTTGTCCCTGGTGAGAGGCGCCGAGCAGGAGTGGGCATACTTATTGCTCCCCATCTTGGTGCCTGTGTGTTGGGGTTCACCCCGGTGAATGAGAGGGTAGCCTCCCTTCGCCTACGTGTGGGGGGACGGGTTCTGACTGTCATTTGTTCTTATGCACCAAATGGCAGTTCAGATTATCCACCCTTTTTGGAGTCCTTGGAGGGGGTACTGGAAAGTGCACCTCCTGGGGACTCCCTTGTTCTGCTGGGGGATTCAATGCTCATGTGGGCAATGAATGTGAGACCTGGAGGGGTGTGGTTGGGAGGAATGGCCCCCCTTATCTGAACCCGAGTGGTGTTCTATTGTTGGACTTCTGTGCTCGTCATGGATTGTCCATAACAAACACCATGTTCAAGCATAAGGGTGTCCATATGTGCGGTACACCACCAACACTGTTTATAGTGGGGGTGGTGTGCTGCTGACCTCAACTCGGGATGTCGTGTGTCGGTGGGCAGAGTACTTTGAAGACCTCCTCAATCCCACCGGCACGTCTTCCACTGAGGAAGCGGAGCCTGGGGACTCTGGGTCGGGCCCTCCAATCTCTGGTGCTGAGGTCACCGAGGTGGTTAAAAAGCTCCTCAGTGGCAGGGCCCCAGGGGTGGATGAGATTCACCTGGAGTTCCTTAAGGCTCTGGATGTTGTGGGGTTGTGTTGGCTTATACGACTCTGCAATATTGCGTTGACATCGGGGGAAGTTCCCCCAGATTGACAGACTGGGGTGGTGGTACCCCTATTCAAAAAGGGGGACCGTAGAGTGTTCCAACTACAGGGGGATCATGCTCTTAAGCCTCCCTGTAAGGTCTATTCGGGGGTTCTGGAGAGGAGGGTCCATCGGATAGTCGAACCTCGGATTCAGGAGGAGCAGTGCGATTTTCGTCCTGGTCTTGGAACACTGGGCCAGCTCTACACTCTCAGCAGGGTCCTTGAGGGTGCATGGGAGTTTGCCCAACCAGTCTACATGTGCTTTGTGGACTTGGAAAAGGTGTTCGACCATGTCCCTCAGGGAACCCTGTGGGGGTACTCTGGGAGTATGGGGTACCAGGTCCTTTGA